ATTAAACGAAGGTCGATTATTTACGTAAAATGTTATTAGTTTCTATCCGCATATCTCCTAACGACGTTTGTGAAATAAGCGTGATATTTATTTGATATACTGTCAAATAAGAAAAATTATAAATACTTTAACACATAATTAATATATTTTAAATTTTAAATACAGTATACTATAAATATATAAAGAATTACTTTATTACTCAGGGCAAACTTTGGTTGGTAATCTTTGAGGAATGCGTGAATGAGGTGAGGAGAAGGCAAGTAGATCTTTAATGGCTGGGGATGAATCAAAATCTTATTCCCCTCTGAATTATCATCGACAATTAAAGAGTACATCTGTCAAGAGCCTGTATGAAAATTGGAGGAATAAGCATATTTAGATAGTCCAGCAATCCCACTTGTTGAAGCATCTTTCTTAAGAAAATAAGTATCCAAACTTGTCTGATTTTTTTTTTTTTTTCTTTTATCGTAAACAAGGCGATATGACTGTATGGCATAGTACACAGCAACCTTTATTTTAGCAAACACTCAGAATTTGGGTCTTGGTTTTCCAAAAATGTAAGATCTTTTCTTCAACCTTTGAAAACACTACTGCCATTAACTTCGTATCAATATTTTACTTGTAGGGGGACAATATTTTAATTGTAGACTTTCAATATATTAACAATATTTTAATGCTTATTATAAAAACTGTTAGCTTCTCTGAGCATTTTGATATTTTTAGCATCCATTCAGTTAAGAAATCGTATTTTTTTAACATCAATTTCATCGTGCCATATATGGAAGACTATCCGTCAGACATAACAGACATAACAGAGAAAACTATCCGTCACTCAAATGCACTTAATTAGTTACGTTTTTTCTGATTTTTGACCAACAATATAACAGGAGGATGGAAAAAACAGATTTTACGTTAAACTAAAAATAAAACGAAATTTAACAATCATTAAGGTGTTCTGAAGTATAAATAAAATTTTTTACAAATTTTATTCTAGTTTGTAATGTACCACTTCTTAAGCTTTTCAACCTAAATATGAACCCGTAAGAAATATGATATTAATTTCAGAATTTTTTCTTGCAAGCTTAAATTGCATTATTAAATATCGGTCTTCTTACTGCCCCAAGAGATATATTCAAATCTATAAAGATTGTCTGAACTTTTAAATATGTTGAATTTGCTTTTATATTTAGAAAGCACAATATTACCAGTTTTTTCTATTTTTGGTGTCCAGTTTCATTTTCACGTGCCTGTCCGTGTTTTAATATAATAATATACTTTGACAATTATTTCTTTAAAATCACATGTATTTAATTGTCATTGAGTTTTTCAACAGTTTCCTGCTGATTACATTTAATTTTGCTCACTTTCATTTAACGTAATTTGAATAATTTTAGTTTTGTGAGCTTTAGTTTGTTTTTGCCAATTCATCAATAAATATATAAAAAATGGGATTAAAAAAAGTAAAAATAATAGAAAAACTTCTTAGAACATATAATATCAATAATAAACAAGAATTTACTAGTTTGATATGGAAATATATCAACAATCGAGTGAATAGCACTCAAAATATGAAGTGAAGCCAAAAAGAACCATTTCAAAGTTGATCAAAAATCAAGATAATGTTAACTGTATTTGTTGATTTACATTATCTTGTGCACCATGAATCTCTATTAACCGGTACTACTTTTGCACTATGATAATGCATTTGCTGAAAGTACTTTTAATGTTCGTTAATCTTTGGTTAGTATTCCAACAACTATGACTCCTCAACAAGCAATATATTCTCCTGAATGAAAGAAAGTGTGTGATCTTTTCTTATTTCCAAATTAGAGAAAGGCTACTTTGTGAACAGTTCTTTAAGTTTACTGGCACAATAAGAGTTGATAGTTTAAAAAAAGAACAAGAGCATTTCTTGTTTTTTAAAGCCTTTTTTGTGTGAAAGGAAGTGGTGACATTAAATGCGTTACAGTTAGAAGAGTTTACTTTGAAGAGGATGTAAGAAGCAAATTGAAGTGTAACGAACAAATTTAACAAATCCTAATTAAAATTGTTGCATTTTATAGAATCTTTCTTAGTACCCTTTGATGTAACGCAAGGTACTCTAGTTTCTAGCGGAAAGTATTGACCCCTGCACCTCAAGCACACATAAAAGTGCGTATAATTGCATACAGTCTCACTCACAAGGTTGGTGCAAGAGAAATTCTTCAGGTCTGTTCATTTAAAAATTTGTGTTTACTCCCACGAAAATAAAAGTCAACAATTTAACATATTACATACTGATTTAATGCTGCATGAAAATTCAGGTTTGGTTTAGTTTATTGAGATTACGGCAAAGCACACTAGGACTATCTGCTTAAGGAGAGGGATGCCTTCGTGGAGGACTTTCTAAGAGAAACTGGCTCGCATACATTTTACACATGGGGAAAACCAGGAAAACTCCCATGCAGCCAGCCCGTTCGCGGGATTCGAACCTCTGACCGAACTATCAGTGTTCAGCGACTTTACCGCTCGGCCGCTGGTGAGCTGAAAATTCAGGAGTATGTAAGGGCTTGAATACTAATTGCAATAGGAAATCATACCTGAATTCTTTAATTCATAACAAAGATATTTCTCCGAATGAATAACTTTATCGGGTCAATTAAAATCTGTGGAGTTAGAAATATCTAAAATTAATTCTTTCTATTGATCTAATTCTGATTGTCACGATTCCAGGACAGCAATGATTAATGAGGTTTGGTAAGCTTTCATGTATCTCAAGTATTACTCTTGCTTTCGCCTAAAATTCTTAATTTATAAGTTTTTCATCATATGTAAGGAATTTATTTTCTTGTATATGATAAGAAACATATATAAGTTATGAATGGGATAACTTCAAATAAGCTTAACCGGTAGTAAAATTTAAAATAATTGCCACATCTAATTAACCGATTTAAAAGCAATGCATGAACTTTTTACTAATTTATATTTATATCTCTTTTAAACAATATCTGTAACTGAAAAATTAAAATTCACATAGTTAATAATTTTAATAAACACTCATCTGTGATTTTTTTAAAATTTAATAGTCATGTTGCATTTTGCAAATATACTACTTATCTTAAAATAACATCCTGATCTTAACATGGTAACTCCTAATTTCTGTAACAGTTATGTTTAACACATTCATTTAAATTATGGCTTTCAGGCAATGATGCTCCAACAGTAATTTTAATTTATTCGAATATTAACGATTGCTATAAACGCTGACAGCTAAAGTCCTACAGGACTATTCGAAAGTACAAAATTTAAGCAACGTTTCTCCAACTGCTTTTTTTTTTGTAACTGATTCCTAGTTTAAACAAGTACTTTTAAGCTCTTTGATAATTTTTTATGTATGCCCTTATACAAATTATGTAAATTTAATTAACTATTATGTAAATTCAATTAATATTATATATGTATATTTAATTAGCATGCATTTTAATTAATATACTAAAACGAGATTTATTTATTTAATATGTAATATTTGCTTGAAAAATTACCAGAGCAAACTATGAATAAATATTATTTTAATTTAACATAAGGAAAATTACTAAAATCACAATAGAGTGACAGAACTGCAATAATCACAACAGAATAAAATAAAATTATTCATTCTATAAAGAAAGAATAATTTTATTTTATTATAAAAATCATATAGCTTTTTAACAAGAATCGGAAGAAACATAATGATTGCTATCAGGTAAACCTGAAATAGAATTTTTATGTAATAAAGAGCTATTCATATTGATCTGTAAACATCGCTGGTCGCTATCTTTTTAGTCAACACAGAGAGGTAATTAACTTAGGTTATACTAACTTAGGTAGATGTTTAATTAAAATTAAATCGTAGCATACGGATGTCCGTAAAGTGGTTACAGCGTTGTTCGATATCCTTAAAGGTCACCCATGAGCGACTGGTCAGTGGGATCGACTCATATATCGACTGATATAAAGTACTTCAAGGAATTTAGATGGGTATTAAAAACATTTAGCGATTCCTTAGATGCCCTTAGATGCTCATCAAAGTCAGTATTGATCTTTATACTGACACTCAGATGGAATCAACAAATAATTTAAGGCAATAACTTTATACATAATTTAAACTAAAATTATATCAAAGCACAGTTGTACATAAATCTCTTGGTCATTGTCGAGTATTTATAAATTGTCTATCACTGCTCCATACCAGTAAACAGTGGATCACCAGTTTGGGATAATGCAATAAATATAGACTAGTTTTAAAAATGAAATGAAAATAAATTTATGCATATAGCTTTTAGTAGCTTTCAAAGTTAAAATGAAATTAAATCACTTTTTTTAAAAATTTAAGCCATGCAATAAATAGAGATAGATTTTTCACTTAAAATTAAAGGAATGAATGGGGAAAGGAGAAAAAAGTAGGAAAAAGCAAAAAACAAAACAGATGTTATATAAATCAACAATAAATTTCTCATAATGTCCATCAAGGTTGTTCCCGTGAAAACTGTTGATCAGCGGTGACCTCCTGCTACTTGATGATCTTTGGAGGTTAGCCATAGGTCAGCAGTGTAATCATTAGTATAAGTTTAAGTAAATTTTAAAATTAAACCGAAGATCATGGAAAACCATCAAACTAGTAAGTTACGGTTAATGGAAATCAACTTATACAGTCCAAGTTAGTAAATGTAGACACATATATCTAACTAAACTTATGTGTTTAAATATTACGTGGTCCAATGTAACAAATTAAGATAATTTGTTAAAAATAAATGAAACCGAAATATACCGTTCTCCGTAACGAAAGCCTATCTCTAGCAGTTAAATCCATGATCAACTGTTGTAAAGTTTATTTTAATTAACAAGTTGTTTTGTTATAATAAATATTTCCTATACTTCTCGTTATCTCCACCAAAATTGCTAATTAAGTAATTTTAATTATGTAAAAAATTAAGTTATTAAAATTTTAATTATCTAGAAAAATAAAAGTACAATAAAATAGGTTAAATCTGAAATGAATGATTTTAATTCAAATTACGTACATCAATATTACCATTTCAGATGACTGAATTATAATAACAAATGGCTTTAAGTCTTTTTATCTTCAATGTTACGTAAGTTTATCAAAGGTAAGCCATATTCTTGTTTAAAAGTTTCATCAGTCTTCAATCTTCAGAAAAATTACTGTTACGTCACACTGAAATAATACATTAAACTTATATATGCAATGAAATAAAATATAAGAGTTGAATCATAATAACAATGTATAAATGTTTAAAAGTATAACTTAATGAACATTATTTTATAGCTATGACGTCATTTCCATTAACATACAGTTTAACCATGCTCAATTGAACCTCGAAGTTATTTGGCTTGCTATACCCGATTCAATAAGAAAAATGGATGATCTCACAAAAAGAGGTAAAATCAAAATGACGAATTTAAAAAAAGAAAAAAAAATCTCATTAACACTCATATCTGCCAACAAAAATTAATATCAAATCTATTTTTTTAATTATAATTAAGATCTAATTACAATTATTATTATTCTCTGTTATTCAATTTGTTGTTTATTCCTTCCTAATTTCAATATTCATTAATAATTTTACACAATAAGTTACTTAACATAAATGCTATGGTTCTGATCCTTCCCTCGAATTGCACATCTCTCTCTAAAATACATATTTATGATTATGAATAATTATTTTGGCCATACAAACATAAAAAACACAAAACGTGAATTATAAAATATATCAACGAATTTATCATTAACTTAACTTCTGAATGCAAAAGTTATGTGTAATTCTCTGCTGGCGAATGACGCATTTGCAGGCTGTATGAAAGTTTTGTCCAAATTTTTGTTAAAAAATTAAAAACGACACTGTGACGTTTGGTTTACCATTTTAAGCGAATAATACGCATTGCAGCTTTGGCATCCGCTAGAGAGTTCATTTTCCATGAGTTATGTTTCTCCAATATTGACATCAGCACCAAAAGAGAAATTTTCGTTAGCATTTTTCGCACAATTTCTTTCACAATACCTTCCTCACTCACAACATGTATCAACATCATCACGTGACTGAAAAACTCCATATCGCTTTCTAAAAATACTAAAATCCTATTTTTTGCTATTCAGTTAGCGACAGGTAAATCTTCGTCCTCACCTTCTTAGACCAACATGAAAAAAACAGTTTCAAATGGTTATTCTTTAACCATCTGAAATACCATTCCTAAATTTTTACTATGTTAGCATTACATTAAGAAGTGTAATTTTATAATCTACATGATTGTAGTACTTCTATAAAATACTTAAAACAAGCTGCTTCCTATAATCATTAGAGGGGCTTCCTTCCTTGAAGTTCTTGATAAAGATTTGGTTCATTGGCTGCTGCATCGAAATTGTATTAACTGAACAATCTTAATGCCTTTTAAGATTTTGACATCTGTTTGTGCATTGCAACTGTAAATCAAGAGTAGTATCTTTAAAGTTTTGAATGAACGTTCTTCATCCCACTTTTGTAATACTTCTTTTAGTAGATAGATATACTCCGTCGAGATAACTAAAATTCCTGTTTGGTCCATGTCCTTGGTCACGAGTTATCCCCATGACGCACTGCTACTACTACTGCAAAAAGTCAATCTCCCCAAAGTATCTCACAAATTCATTGGCCATTCTAACACAGTGACAGATTATAACTCCTTTGAATGTTAACCTATTTTAGAAAACTTTGTTGACATCCTAAAACACTTGATCTTTCTCAAATTTTTCTTTCTCGAGCAGAAATATGATATCAACCTCGATTTGAATAAATTGTATTCCTGACAGATATGGACTTGGCTTCCTTTCTTTTGCATTTATCGAAAAATGTTTTCCTGATTTTTAAACAGAAAGCTGTACATTTATAAGCACAGGTGCAGGTAAAAGTATGGAGAAGACGATACGTCAACTAGTAATGCCTTCCCATATCTATGCCTAAGGAGAAAAATTTAGTTTTATATGCTTTGTAACAGCTCATAAAGGAAAGGTTGAATTCTGCTGATGAGTATCACTTTTTAAAGAAAAATCGTGTATTCCAACACCAAAGGTTTCAGAATAATTTACGGATATCAAGGAGTTCAATTCTAAGAGCAATGAAAGACATGAAACAGCTTTTATACAAAAGACTGCTTTTTAGCAATTAAAAGGCAAGAACAAAAATCACTTTAGTAATTAAAATAAACAATTACTTGTATATAATATTAATTAATATAATAAGTAATAAACGCTGAACATCTATAAAATGTAACTTGACAAAATTGTAACTAGACAAAGCAAATAGTAATAAAATCACTAAAAAACAAAGCAAATAGTAATTAATACTAAAATTAATTTATTTCTTAACTTATAAGAAGGTATTTCTCCCTCTTTCTTAGCAAGCCTTAGTGGTGTAGTGGTCTGCAAGCTCAGCGCTTATTTGAGATATCCGCGCTTCAATTCCCGGCGAAGGCGTTGCTAATTTTTCAGTCTCTCTTGCCTGCTTCCAAAAATACCTAGTGTCTCTATAAACTAATCAAGATTTTTTTTTCTGTTTTTAAACTAAAACTTTTTTCTTTCAAATTATTCAGGCTACTGGTAATGAGAAAATATGTTAAAGATTATGTTTGAATTGATGAATAAAAAGAGACAAAGTAAAATCATAAAAATTGAATTAACTAAACACAAACTCTAAAAATGCATGGTTTCATTTAATGATCAATCATAGTATGTTGATCGAAGAAAAGAAACAGGCAATGCCAGCAGAGTTTAAGAACTCATAACTAAATAGACTTCCTACCCTCTTTAAAAATACACCATTCTGCATTTATTCACCTATTCCATTGCTTGTAGCATAACTAGAATGTTGTCTTTAAGTTTTTTAATTGAAAATTCTGCAGAACACTTTATAATTCATCTTTTAAATATCTTTTCGTTAACGAATGTCTCAGATCATAACAATAAGTTTGATTTGTAACTACGACGTCGAAAGACAAACCAAACCTTAAAGCAAAGGATTCAAGTTTCTCACGATCAAAGAAGTCAAATAAAGCTACAAAGGCAATAGATACAACGTTGACAAATTTTTTCACAATGAAGTATCTATGAATTCGTTCCTGCAAGTCACAGCTTTTACGAAACGCTTTATCGTAAAGTTCTAAAGAGACTGAGCATAAATCGTTTGTCACAAAAGACTTCAATAGTGCAAAAATAGAAAACGATTTCTTCATCCCAATCATAAGGATGTCGCCGCCCCCTGAGAAGGAAATTTTAGAATTTGCAGAAGTTCCTCACCTACCTCTTTATAAGCTTCTTGGAAGTGCTGTTAATTCCATTGGTCCTCGTAAATCATCGTTTCGAGTGTGCGAATTCAAGTCGAATCGCAAAGATGAAAGATTTCCAAGAAATATTCGAATCCTAATGCAAGCGCTTTGATTGATATTTAAATGCAGAATAATGAAACTTTTAAGGGGATGCAGAGCACATTTAATGAAAATAAATTTCAGAATTTTGTAAGTTTATCCAATGCTTTTTTAAACATAGTACAATGAAGAAGGAAGAGATTAAAAATTCTGTTAATATGATTTCATGTTAACAGGTGAAAAAAGAGAGGAAAAGATTTCTGCTTGTGTAAGAAATTGTAGAAACAATTTTGCTTTTATTTTCATTTAGCAGCGTCTTCGATATTTCCATAGTAATTCATCTAAATTAATTTCATCGTCATAGTACAGAAATATGTTTATTAGCATACATAAAATGAATTCATTTATTTTTATTCTGAAAAGGATAAATCATACTCTTGTTCCCCTCATGTAATGAATAATGCCTGAAAGATAATTTTTCGGTAGTTTTTTTTAATGTCATCTTTCTAAATGTGTGTGCAACGTATTAGTACTGAAGTACAGAAACTTTTCCTTCAAACTGATGCAGCCTATAAAAAAGGATTTTAAAATCCAATTAAAAACGTTTCTTAGAAGTAAAAATGTTTACATTATTTTCTTTTATCTGTAATATTTTCTAGATAATTAGGAATAAACGCTGTAATTCGAAATCAAAATACTGGGGCTGTCGTATTTCATTCTGACAGTTTCAAAGATCACATTTTTCTGACTTCGTCTTCATTTTTAATAAACAGCCGGCTGCCTAAGGGGCTGTCATGCATACGAACTACTGCAGAATTCCTTTACGAGGTTTTCGTAAATACATTTAAAATAATACAAACTAATTTCGAAAAATACATTTAAACATTTTATATTTATACAAACAATAAAGTTTATTTTTGTTAGAATAAATTAGAGTCATTTTTGCATAATGGAACTTGGCAACGTCAAAAACAAACGAGCGCCAAAAGATGTATTGACGAGAGAGGATTCTACTTAGGTTTCAAATACAAAGAAGTCTTAAAAAGATTTTGCGCTTGCATTGTATTTGTGCTTCATTCTTTTCAGCATGTTACCTTCTTTGATGGAATATACTCCTGATAATATTGCGTAATGAATAAGCCTGAAGCTATTTAAAATTTATAAATGGATCTCTTGTAAGTTCTTTATTTCAACACTTCCATTTAAATGTTTAAAGTCTATTAACTTAATTTGCATTCTATTTGCGTCTTATCTGAGCCAAGAAAACTCTCTAACTTATTAAATGAAGATTTCATAGTTATTCTAACTTATGATTCTTTAGTAAAACTGTCCTAAATAGAGGATAGTGTATTCAAACGCCTTAACTGTGTTAAACGCACGACATATCAATTTTGTGGTAATTTTATTTTTTAATAATCTGATAGCACATTAAGGTTTAATCAAAGTTGACTCAAATTCAGTTATCTTTTCCTAATAGTTTAAGGACTGTCTCTCAGAACAGAAACTATACTATATGGATATCTGACAGAATTCGGCCGTATATTCGCAATTAGAAAAATTAGTGTTTAAAAAAAAAAGATGGAGAGAGAGCTCTAAGCGAGGGATTTTATTACTGAATCTCACCAAATGGAACCCAGACACTGCATACCTCTTTTGTTTAAAAAAATGCTGAAATTTGTAAAATACTCACACTCATTTCCTTTACTTCCTGTGCTCTTTCTAACCTGTAAGAAATAAAAATATGTGTCAAAAAAATACATAAAATGTAGAATAACATTTTATGAGATTCACCAACTTTAATAAATGCAGAACACAATGCTTATTTATCAGTAATTTAGATAAAAAAGGCTCAGTATATATTTGGTAGTATGATATGTATGCCTCTTTATCAGAAGCAAATTAGTCTGTCCAAACACACTATTTAAAACTAATAAAACAGGAGGAATGGGAAGTCCTCATAAAAAAAAAGTAAATTTGTATCGAAGTTCTTCGAAACGTATGAATCCCATTTTATTGAAAATACCGTCGAGAGAGGGTTAATTATATTGTTAGTTACCCCTATTTTTAATGCATGTATGCATGCATCCCGCTCTCATTAATACACTGGTTAATGACGCTGCCTGTTGAACCGATGGGCCCGGAGATGAGATGGATGTTTGTAAGTGTATAGTATCAGCGCGGCATGTGCCATTTAAAATACTGGGGAGCCTGAAGTCTTCTCGAGTGCTTTGGTGGCATAGGAAGAGGGGTGGAAGTATTCTGATCATCTCCGCCGATGTCTCTATCTTTATGGATGAGAAGTTGCGCACCTAGCAGGTGAGACTATATCAGTGAAACTAACAGTGAAATTTTGGTGTGCCATTCCCTTGCCCCTATATTTATATGTATGTAGTACGTTCTTCGCACTGTGGAGAAATGACGGCATATAGAGAACAACCAACTTCTGAAATTTCGAATATGTTTCTTATTTATTTTATTTTTCACGGGAATTCAATGAATTATTTGTTGATAAATTCAGAGATTTAAAAGTGACGTATTTACTGTGCTCTAAATAAAAAAGTAAATTCATCTTCTACTCGCCAGTATGTTGTTGTTTATCGAAATGTTAAGATATTTATCTTTCAACTTTATTCAAATTTTAAAAGTGATGTGTTGTTAATAAAATACTTTTACATAAATAAAATACTTTTACATAAATAAAATACTTTTACATATTGCAAGCGCGTGTTGCCATTTAACAAAGCATAAAGAACTTTCAGATTTTATCTTCGTGCTATGAATTAACAAATTGAGCGATTTTTAAATTTTTTCCCAACTGAAACTGTATGAATAATTCGTGAGAAAATTCTTCATTATTCATTATGTCTGGTAAGTCCAGTTTACCGTATATTTTATGATATTCCTTTAAGCTTCTTTATTGATTTTTGAGAGATCCTTTGAGAAAAAATCGTCAGCTTTCGCTGCATAAGTACACAGAAAAAAGAAAGTTTGCTATACAAATATTATATACGATAAGTGCAAGAGAAGGACATTTGGCGATAGTTGCTGGAGACGACAATAAAAACGAAAGAAAAAATTAAACAATCGATATTTGACATAACAATCAGTATTGCCAATATTTACTGAGAAACAGAATAACATATATTAGTTGAGAAGATCTGAAAAAAAAGAAAATAAGCTGACACTTTTTCATTCTTCGTATTTAATTGTTAAACAATAACACGCTTTTATTCAGAGAAATATAAATTGTTTAAAATCTTTTCCTTCATTCCAGTCCTTTTTGGAAGCACCATTAGTAGCACTTTGTTGTTGTGACTTATTCTCACTTGTCTGACAGTAACATCAGAACAAGACCACGAAATTCATCGTGGCAAGAAGAGCAAGATTGCGCCTGACGTTGGCAAGAGGCTTGAGCACCATACGGGTGGCAGTACGATTTCATTCAGTTCCGCCTCAATTTTAACGGAGAGCCCTCCGGGGGGTAAGGGTCCGAGGATCTCCCCTCCTCTTTCCCTACCACCAGCCTCTCGAGAGGACTTCCAGCTCGTCATATATTTAGAAGGCCCACTTGCTGCAAAGACACTTTACGTTTACAAACAACCATACCTTCTCCGGAATTCGAACCCGGACCCTTCGGAACCGCAGTAGACCCACTAACCACTATACCGTGTGGGCGTTATGTTTGTAAGCTTCTTATTTCAAACTAACCAGTTATTATGATTTGAATGACTACTTTAACTTCTTCTTTCCATATTTCGCACCAGAATGCAAATGAGCTTGTTTATGTGTTTAAGCTGAGGCCTTTGGATCTTGAGATAGATGGTTTCTGGCATTGCCTATTACGCTTTTAGATTCTGCCAGATCTAGTTTAAAGTAATTTCACTGCCAATACTGTTATCTAAACAACGGCAGTTTATTGAGCCAGCTCATAACCACCTATAAAACTACATAGTTATATACTAAGTATTTAACTGTGTAGTTAAATAGTACTAATCATTTAATTGTAAGTATCACGTATTAAGTAAGTATTACATTTAATAAGTAAGTAATATCACATTTAAGATTAAGTAAGTATCACATTTAATTGTAAATATTGAACAGATGCAACCGTAAGAACGGTTGCATCTGTTCAGTTCAAAATTAGGTAAAAAGCAGCTAGATTAGCGTACAGTTTGAATCTTAAGTTACTTTTTTGCCTAAGTTTAAATTTCTACATTAGCATGTTTCTCTATCAGTTAGATACGAACTACCCTACCATATCAGAAATATTTTATATTTTACAAACTTTTATTTGTATCAAATAAAGGCTGAAAAGAGGCAACAGAAGGAAATGAGAGAGCAAGAAAGATTTTAGTGATACTAAATAGATTACAGTTTTCCATTGATCATTTCTGAGCAAATAATTACTGAGTAGCATTAGGATATAACTATTGTATTTAAAATAACTAATTTGCAATAAAATGCAATTTTAGTTTTTATATGCCAACCACGAAGAACTGTGTAACTGAAAGATAAACAGATCAATGTAGAATTTAAAATTAAGCAAAAGAAAGCAAATTTACAATAGCCGTAGGACGTGAATAATCCTCTACCGATTCAAGAGAAAACACAGATTCCTCTTCTTCATGAACAAAACATTTTAAAGTGAAAGCTATTATTTCTAATGAAATCAATATGAAAAGCGAAGAGAAAACGAGCGAAGAGGCGCCATCTGCCGAGAAAAATAGCAGTGAAAAAAGGTAAAAATGTTAGAAATTAGAAAGCTTTTGAAAGAAGTGGATTAGAACTTAATCTCCTCAACCAGATAAAGTTATATTCATTGTCTCTTTGCCTGGGCAACTGATTTTACTTTAATTTTTTTTCGGAGGGGGGGGGTCTTCCAGTTTGCAAAAAGCTTTGGCTCCTGAAAAAGTAGAACAAATGCCTGATTGCTCTTAAAATCTCTACAGGTTTACTAAAATTCTATGTAAATATAAATTTCTTTTTTCGGGCAGCTTAATTTTTAAAAGCTCTTTGTTTATTTACGTTTTCGTATTAAATAAATAAATAAATAAAAATTAAAATAAAAGCAATTAAAACTTTAAAAATAGCGAAACTACAACAATTACCGTATCTTCCAATAGCTTGGATTCTTTTAATTTTTCAATTGCCGGAACAAGTGTATCCAAGCCATACCCTTGTAGTATTAGTTTAAAAGCTTCCAGAGTTTTTTCTTTGAACTTCTCTAGAAGGTCTTTCGGCAAATCTCCTGGATCTACCTGCAGTTTCTTGAAGCTGTCTTTGATTTCCATGACCTATAGATATAAGATGTAATCAAATGAGTTAATGCTATGAATGAATAATTTTTTTTTTCTTTACAAATTAGAATCTGATATTCGTCTTTCAAAAAAAAAAAGGCGACAACATTTGGCCCAATTTCTAAATAATTTTATTCTACTCTTGTTGTTTCTAATTTTCCTGATCTGAATATACAGCCAGGTCAGGTCCATATATTTTATCGTGGACTTAAAGCAAAGGATAAGCTCGTGCCCAAGGCGTGACAATACGAATTGTTACAGCTCCGTTTCCAACTTCGAAGGCGCTCACTTCAAATTATGGATCCAAAAATCTCATACTACGTTTCCCGTACAGCGAGCTTCTCGAAGGACCATTTCGTTCAATGGTATTTTAGGTGCTTCCATACTTCAAAGAAACTACATATTTACAAACATCCCTATTTTCGTTGGGATCTGAACCCAAGCCTAGCAATACTGCAATCTGTTCGAGGCGAATTGTTGGGTCTTCCGTTCTTCATCCTCTGTTACCAACTTCTGGATATTGAACTAGACAATGCTTTAAAATGCCGCAAAGACTCTATACACTTAAAAACACTCATGCCATATGTCGGATTCGAACAAGGGTCCAAGGCTGCGACAGCCAGCTTCCATGCAAACAAGGCGACTTCATTTTTGAAATTATGAACAGAAATGGAAAAACAATGCATGAAACGAAAGAAAGACTGTAAAAGTTTTAACTATGCAACAGTAATGCCCGAACTGAAGTGAGATGGACAATAACCCATCACGCTTGGATTTGGTTGAACGGTTCTGGTGGCTCTTCTTAGTCGCCGTCCAAGTGAGAGAAGAATGTTTGAAACTATCGCATTATCCTATATGTGCTGTTGTGATGCAAGATATTGGCACTGGATGATCTCTATGCTTCGAATCCCAGCGGCAGATTTTTTTTTTTTTTTTAATTTTCTGCTCCGATGATGATCTTAATATTCTCTACAAATATTTGAGTAGTTTTTAGTCTTCTTTTAGCTATACGAGCAACGAAAATTTTGGAATAAGATGCTTGCCATACTTATTTTAGAATACAATTGTTATTTCCGCAGCAATAGTATGAGTTTGAGATGATGTATATTTGTATACAATTTTAGGATGCATATTTTAGGATGTACTTTAAGCACTCCCCCAAAGTAGGAAGTCACATGACTTAACAGCCAACGTACTGCTAGGTGCTCCGGAGCGGAAAATGTAAAAAATCAATGCTGTCCTCGCCGCGATTCGAACCATTGACTTTCGATTATTATTTGAATGCTGTAAGCATCTGCACTATGATATCATACACAGGGAAAGTTGGCAATTTTTTACATTCTTACAGAGTTAAAGGGCGATATTGGAGGTAGGCGCGTGTCCCAGTCGAGCTAATTCAATTATTGAATTGGTGACGAATTAACGTTTACTATATTTGTTTCAAATGCTTTGCAGAGGTTATGAGATTATTAGATTTCGGAACCAGGAAATGCAAGAAATCTTCAATGGCTTCGCCAGGATTCCAGCCACGGATGTTTCAATCGCCACGCAGAGTTTTAACCATTTATACCATGAAACCAAGCGTGGAGAAATGAAGTAATTGTTTGCAGATGTATTGCAGAGTCGCTACGTTTTTTTTTTTTTTTTTTTTTTTTTTTTTTTTTTAAGCAGGAGATGTGAAAATGGGCATTGCCGTCGCTGGGATTCGAACAAAGACCTCTCGAATACGCGCCGAGTGTGTTACCGTTACACCATGAAAGCATGCTGGAAAAAGGAAAAAATACTCTACAGTATACTAAATGAATACAATATTGAGAATTATGTAATGAAACTGTTCTGAAATTCAGTAAATTATTTTTAAACATTCTATCATTTTTTAGAAGACGGAGAGATTTGATATGCCGAGAGACGTGTATGTAATGCATTTTCAGGCAGCGAAACTTTTTTCCATATATTATAATAATATATTCTTCTTGTAAAAAATGAGAGCTGGAAAATATTTGCAGTGATTTTGTAAAGAAACAGATTCGTTTTAAATATATCATTTATGTGTATTTTGTATTGTCCGCAATAAAAAATGTTCCCCTCCCCGAAATTTCATTCACTTATCAATAATATTCCTTATAAATTCAAATGTGATATTTATTTATCACAATCATCCACCTATTTTAAGGAAACACAGTGATTAAATTCGCTTGTGCCTGGAAATGTCTGTCAACATCCATGACGTTTTCATATGTTACCTTTATCAAAGACTTTATTAGACGCACTTTTATACGAAATTGAAATAAATAAATCTATATTTTTTCCCTAAATTTTCAGTCCTCATGTTCTCCTCACCGTTCATAGCTCTGTAACTTACAACAGGGGCAATTTTGTATGGAGTAATAGTTATCCTTAACACAACTAATTCATTAGCCTAATTAATTGCATAAGCCTACTTGCAGTCTTATCTTTAAATAAGCAGAGAGTTTATACTGGAGACTGGAGATTATTAGTTAAGCCAGCTGTACCGTCGTTACAACTTTTCAGCTTTACTGTTTAACTGATGGAACCATCTACCATCCGCTACATTTGTTAATGAATTTTGAAAAATATACTTGAATAATAAGTTCATAAAGTTGTAACATAGTAATTGTCGTAAAGCATAAAATTTGGGATTTTCTAAAATTAAAAATTAAATAAGAAATTAAAAATAATGACAATAGAGACGTATTAGGTGAACTTTGAAACATCAAAAGTCAAAGAGTCTTTAGTCAATAGTCAAGTGTTAATAATAAAAGGTATATAGAAAGTCTGAATTTGAAACGTATGATGAGACTAGACTTATAATCTCAAATAAATGAAGTCTTTGATAATAATGATTCTTGACAGTATTGAAACTATGCACTGCTTGATGAAGAAGAAGGCCTGAGAAGATGAAAGGAGATAATACTGTCTTTTTCAGGTTTATACCATAAGTTGTAACACTAGAAATAAATTTATTTACGAGAGCAAATTATTTTAACTTGTTTTAGATGAGCCAGTAAAAACATCAAGGTTTTCAACTTTGGAATTAGATATTTCGTAGCGAAAAACACGAGAAATCATCTCTCCTCTCACTGCGATTCAAACTACGAATTTCCCATCCTCTAGTTGGACTTCCGAACAATTTATAGCACAAGAACAATCATCCTAACAACTTACGACTACAAGAATCTTCCTAACAACTTACACTACGAGAACTATCACACAAGGAAATGTGATAATTCTTTTCAACTTCATGTTTAATGCCAAAGCGTAATTAATAGTAATTCTGGACAAATTTCCCCTTTGGGCTAATTAATAATAAAATTAATTCCAAATTCAAGATTCGAGCTTCCAGGTGCCCATATTCGAATGCAGTTATTCAAAATTCATTGTTTTTTCACAGTGCGAGAAACATATATACATTCATGTCAGATTCTTCATTATTCAATTTCTTTCAATATAATCTAGGGCGATAATATTTGGTGACAACAATTTAAAAAATGATACAGCCGTTTATAGTGATTCGACGCAAAACGCCGTTTTGAAACTAATAGCGCTTCTAAGCTAACGCCCCTTTGAGCTAATAAGTTGTAATTTCTCCCTGTTCAATGAATAACGTCCGTATTTTCGCGAAATGTTTCTGAAATCGTATACACGTGAAAAAAATTTATATTAAATTAATATATTAACATATAAAAGAGTTCAGAAAAATTCCATAACCTTATCAAGGGTAGTCTTATCCACTTCTTTTCCTTTCCGCAGATTGCTCTCGATTTTTATTAGAAGTTCGTTGAGCGTTTCTAGGAGTACTTCGCCTTTTCTGATTTTATCTTTTCTGTGGAATACAAATTAAATACATTAGTAATTCTCTTACGGAATAAAGACATTAATTGACATCAAAGCATTATAATAGTGCAAGATTTCTTCAGGTAGTATGCATTATTACTCAGGATGGAACATTGCTGCAAAACATAAATGTCTATTTTTGCTATTCTTAATCTACAGTAAACAAAATTTTAAGTATTAAATAACAAATAATAAGTAATTAATGTAAAATATTTGCAGGATTATAGTTTTGAATATTAAGTTGAAACTCCTTCCTCAAACACATGAGTGAAAATATTTAAAAGTATACACAGAGTGTCCATAATTAAACTTGAAATTTGAGGAGCAGTCTGTAGCAAAAACTATACAGCGACACTGGATGAAAATTGGGTAATGCAGAATAAAATTATGGGAATTTTATCGAGGGTGGAAAAACAATGAGTTTCAAAAACCACTCCTAAGTGGCGTATCATAGCTTTATTGAGAACATATAAATAATCTACAAAAGTTTAGAAACATGTTCGATATGATGTCCGCCATTGTCTACTATCATCTGGAAGCGTAAAATGGCATGTTCGACTTCTGAAAGCAACATGAACTGGGGAATGTTACGCACATGGCACATGTTACGTTACATCCATCCCTTCTCGGGGATTCGAACGTGCGCCTTTCGGTATCGCAGTAAACCCTCCTAACCACTATACCGTCTGGGCGCTATGAAATTCATCTTGGCAAGAAGTGCAAGATTGCGTCTATCATTGGAAATAGCCTTGAGCACCATACAGATTACCGTACGATTTTCGCTCAGTTCCGCCCCCAATTTTGATGAAGAGCATACCGGGAGGGCTTTTTCGCAGGCCTCCCATTCTTCTTTTCCTACCAGCAACCGATCGAGAGGACTTTCGGCTCACCGCATACTTAAAGCGTCCCCACGCCGCACAAACACTATACATTTATAAAAACCTATGCCTTCTCCGGACTCAAACTCGGGGCTTCGGTACAGCATTCAGAGTCACTAACCACTATTTCGGTTGGGCGGCATACAAATTCTTCATTATTTAATAAGAGAAATAAGTCTCATGCTCTTCAGCGGGAAATTTCCAGGCTTTCCTTCTCTGACCAATATATAGGGCTAGCATAAATGATTCACTCGTTTTGAAAAGGCTACATTTTCAAAAGTATTTCACGTAAAGGCATAAAAATTATATGAACAGTGCTACACACTTAGTTTATACACCTTCTACAAATATTCATTATGTGCTCCTTTGGTGGTACGACAGAAGTTCAGACGATAATCGAAATCATTCCATACATTTTGTAGCATTTTTGTCCAGATGTTCGTCCTGTCAATTGACCGGATGTTCGGAAATACCACAAAAACACTGTGTGGAATATTTTGCGTCAATGGTTGCGTTTCAAACCGTACCATGTGTAGCTAGCTACAGCAGCAATTAAAACCAGAGGATTACGCCCGTCGACTAGTTTTTTGCGTTAACACGCAGGAAGCATTACAGGAAGAAGATTTCGCCACCAAGATGATACTCAGCGATGGATCTGGTGTTAACACTCTTAGACAAAAAAAAAAAAAAAAAAAAAAAATGGCGCCCAAGATGGGACAAATCGGTAGAAAGTGCTGTAGTAAGAAAAACAATGATTACAGTTTGAGAAAATTGAATAATTATAGAGTGATAGGGTTCACAAAGTGGAAAAGCCAGTAACGCGTTTGTCCCCTCTGGCCCCTATTGCAAGCATTATTCGGCTTGCATTGATTGATAGAGGTTGGGATGTCCTCCTAGGGAAATCGTGCAAATTCTGTCCAACTGGCGCGTTAAATCGTCAACCCGGACTGGTTGGAGGGCCCAGCCATAATTTCCAAACGTGCTCAATAGGGGATAACCGACGACTGCCGGCCAAGTAAGTTTGGCAAGCCCTACGGCAAGCAGTAGAAACAGTGCAATGTGGGGAGGCGCATATCTTGCTGGAAAGGGTGTGGCGTGACATAAGACAAACAAAACGGGCCTTAGAACTTCGTCGACGTACCGCTATGCTGTTGTTGCGACGAATGACACCAAAGAGGTCCCCTATAAATGAAATGGCACACAGACCATCACTCCGCGGTCCCTGTCTGCCGAAAGACAGTCAGTTGGTACACACCGTGTCGGGGGCTCGCCTTCACTGGTCAGATGCTCAGTTTAAAGGGACTCATCACTGAAGACTATTCTACTCCAGTCATTGACATCCCAGTGCGAATGAGCCTGAGTCCACTGCAAACTGGCTTGACGTTGTACAGAGTTCAATGGTAGTCGGCGCAAGAGGCGCCGTGACCCCAGCCCCCTTTCTGTGAGCCGTCTATGAATGGTCCTAGCGGTTCACTGAAGCACTAGTGCACGTACAATCGATGACAATGATGCATCTGGGGCTGTGAGTGACGATTGCTTGGTCTTCACGTTCTGTCGTTGCTCTAGGCCTATCGCTTCTTTCTTGACGCTGTGTGTGGCCATGGTTCACCCATTCCTGCCAACATTGTCTAATAGTGCATCGCTCCTGCTCAATTCGAGCTATTCCGATAAGACCAACCGCTTTGCCCAACTACACAACCTCTCAAATTTTGACATTTGCGCATATCGTTCGCGCACCTGTATGCGAGGCATAATTACTGTCTACCAGAGTACACGGAATGAAATTCGTGAAGAATTTATGACCTGAAATCGTGATTTCTCCTCTTAAATATTTTGCCCGTTGCGCAGATCAGATGCGCTGTAGCGAAAACCGTTCATTCATTGGCAGCCAAAATGTAAAATTTTGCATTTTCCGTCGAAACCTGTATGCATATCAATTTGTGTCCAATGTGCTTTATATCTTCTAGGTGCGTCTTTTTTTTTGGGGGGGGGTTGTCTAAGAGTGTATATATATACACCAGTTCCGCATATCTGGGAAACTTGGTGAAACAGTGAAAAAAACTTGGTAAGTTTGTGGTTCTTTTCATATTTTTCATGTGTGTATGCATAATACTTTTGAGAATGTAGCCTTTTCAAAATGAATGAATCATTTATGCTATCCTTGTATATTAAATCACATTGACGACATACACTACAGATATCCCAGAAACTCGTACATAGTTGTCACTTTAACATGTAGTTCTTCGGTGTATTCTTTTATCACAAAGCTTAAAATATGAAATAAAAATGAATCTTGTATAGTGAGATCCACACATGCAGATATATACCAATGGGGAAAAAAGCATCAAAACTGACTTAAGTTATTATTGACTAAGAATTATTGGCTTAATAAAGACCTTTCGAGCTGCATGGTGTTTTAGTTGAAACGCAATTTCATAATATTTTCGTTATTATTTTTAAGATTTTTTAAAACATTCTGTAAAGTTAAAAAGAAAAACATTACACTTCTTTAGTTTATCCTCTTTATCTACATTTTCATACATCGAACCGACAAAAGTAATTCTAAAGAATTTCAGTTTTTTATATCATGTTTTATCCTATTTATTATACCTTATTTTATGCTTTACTTTGTATTTTAATGAAGTATATAATAGCTAGACTACTCTTTGAAATTTTCTTTACATTACATCTTTAAAACCTTTATCGTAACAACTTAAAAGCGTTTCGTTTTATTTAAACCTCATAATAATAATTAAAGGCAAAAGTATAATAAAAATACAAGAATTGTTAAGATTAAAACTAATTCGCCCATCAATTTCTAAATCAAATAACCTTATTAAAAATGATTAATTTACTTTGAAATAATCCATTTATGAAGATTTCCTGAGGCATGAATAATAGCATACAACATTTATTTAAGAAAAATATTACTTAATAAAAAAGATGCAAATTATTCGTACTTCTTTTCCAACTTCACAAACAATTAATGTTAAAATTATACCCCGAGCATCAGATGTTTCTTTTGAGTTCTGATATGTTGCATGTATTAATGGGAATTAATTATTAAAAAACGAAATTTTTAAAAGTATTTAATTTATAGTTACTGGAAAATTAAATATATAGTAATGAAAACATATTTATAAAACAAATATTGCACAATAATATTTCAGAAAATTTCTTATTCAGATCACAGCATTACGTGATTCGTTGAATGAAAAGATTTAGTTAATAAGTGAAAACTGCGCAATAAATTAGAAATTCCCACTTTTATACAAGGAATGAATACGCAGGAACCAGTACATAACATGCACATATTCGTTCGCTGAATCTGAATAATTTAGCCTACAAAAGAGTCAGTCGTAAAACATTGAGACTAATGTTAACATATCGATTTAATGATAATTTAACGTTTAAAATGTTTATAGAGTAGCCTCTCTAGTGTTTCTGTTGTTATACTTCATTACAGTGCCAGGGCATTTATCATTCATAATTTCAAATGCAACAGAATATCAAGTTCTGCCATTAGAAGAAACTCATTAGAAAAAGACTTTTAATTTAACTTCCACTCGGTCTAGCAAATAGCCATTTTCCACAGTTACCTTTCTTCGTGCCATAAGATCTTTTACTTTCTTTTTAAATACTCTATTGTCGCTTAGTAACTGAGAAATTTTTAAAGCAATGAAGTTATTTGCAATTGATATCTTTATTGCTATGATTTATAAAATATCCAACTATTGATTTTATGAGGATTTTAGAGCATTATTTTAATTAAATAGATGTTTATCAGGCCATAAACTGGACACCCAAAAGCCGAATTATTTTGTTTTTATTCTAATACTATCCGTTATGTGGCCAGCCTTCATCTGGCTTTTAAATGCACCAGAAAAATACCAAACATTAAATTTTAAAACTACTGAGAATTTTGCTCCTCAGAACAACTTTATCAAAAAGAAAATCTGAAATGTTTCAGATTTTAAATTACGTCCAAAGTGCGTTTTTTTAACATTTTGTGTGTTACTTTTATTTATTAAATATCACATTCTTCGCACTCAAACCATAAAACAACAGCAATATCGCAAAATAGTTTTAAAATGAGCATATCTTTAGAATTTCCGATACAGAGACTCACGCCGTGGAGATAAAAATTTTTTTCTCTACAACGTTGCCATGGCTCGCTCTGAAATCCTTGAGTTTGTTATTAAAATATTCGTTAAAGTTTTACAAAATAGGAAGTCGATAATAAAACAAATTCTAAATTTGGTCTTCGACATGCCCATTTCTGAGGGGAGCACTGCGTTATTCAAAGTTTGATGCCTCTAGGTACCGTTATTTTTTCACAGTGCGAGAAACATACATACATTTATGCAGATTTTTCATTATTTAATTTCTTTAAATATAATGCAGGGCGATAATATTTTGTGGCAAAAGTTTTAAAAGTGATTCGCTGTTTGTAGTGAATCGACGCAAAAACGAAACCAGTAGTCCTTCAGGGACAAAGCTCCTTTGGACTAAAGAAAACGACAAATTTCAATAAAAATGTATTACATGTAAAAAAAAAATACAATGAAATAAGCAATATCCCTTAATACAAGTATTAATTAACCTGATAAATAAATTAGCTAACTTCCCGTTGCCTTCTTTCGGCAAACGTCCAGTGTCCAAAAGAAACATTAAATTTAAAAATTTAAAAACAGCACAGAATCATCGTCTCATTTTTTTGAGTGGTAACAGGGCTGATATCAGCAGCAGTGATATATCAGTAACAATGACTTAATGCCGTTGCTGCTGATATAATGAGAGAGAATTATCGATTTGCTGCGATTTCATCAAAAATGCAAAATAAAAAATTCTCATTCGAATTTTGAAAAAATTCGCTTCGGGTGCACTGACTCTTGTCTGGATGCACCTGTGTACCAAATTTCGTAGCCCTGTGTCCAGCTTACTCGCAGCACGAATGAAAGACACACACACAGACAGACAGACTCTTCCTTTTATAAATATAGATAATACATCTAATTGATTTTAATTAAATTAATTATATTATTTGCAAGTAATAACCTCTGTGGTCATTTGCGGCATTATTATAATTTATTAAAATGTTTCTACTATTACACATTACGTCTTCAGTTCAATATAATTATGCTATTTTTATAGTACAGAAAGAAATCTTTACATCATTCTAATACATTTCTTTTCTATATCATGTAATGACTATTTTTGTATAATAATTAATTTACATTTATATCAAAGTTCTTCTTTAAACTTACATTATGGCTGCCAATTCAGGTGGGGGGACAGATTCTACTGGCAAATACAGGAAGGACAAGTAAGGAATCAAGAAAACACATGTTCCCGTTATTTGTTGACTTCTAGTAACTGCGAAAGGAGGAAATTAAATTAGCACATTTTAATATAATTATTGAATATAATATTATAATTAAGCTTCTTTTTTAGAAATGATTGTTCAAAATGCATATTAGTGTGAATAGAAATATTTGACAAAAAAATATGACGTTTAAATTTTTTTTAAAAAAATAATTGCTGTTTTTCATGGCTATAAATGAAATTACTTACAACAGTGGAAACTTCCAAAAGAATGTGGAACCAATAAAAAGAGAAAGATGCATATCAACACGGTGTTCATGACCTGTAAAGAAGATGCCTTATATAAAAAATTATTAAATCATATTTTATGTTTGCATGCATGAAAATTAACGTATGAAAGGAGAAATGTTTTGAGACTCACAGAAAAGGGTTAGAGTTAAACAGCTAAATTTTGTATTTTTAGGTTGGCATGATGGGCGAAATTTTACGGAAATGACATGCTTTCTTTTGCTTTTTCTTTTAGGTTAAAATTAGAGAAGAGACTGATCGTGATTCGATACCTTTAATTCCTCACTGCAACATAAATCCCCATATCATTTGCAATTGTTATAATATGGAGAATCACAGACTTAAGAGTGAATATGAAATTATTTTGGACGAACCGCAAGTAGGACAGCCAGTAATGGTAGCAACACAAGAAAACATCAACACTGCACTCAGTTGATCATAAACAATATCAAGAGACTATATAAACAATGTCTGAGCATTTGGAGAATTCTATCGAACGTGTTTCGACACATCAGCCATCAAGCACTACGCATGAACAAACTGTCAGCTAATTGCAACATAGAATGTATATATGGTGCAATTTGGAATGACTACATTTGGCACAGAGAGAGATTACGTACAGACAATCATACAGAAAAATGGTGTCTCGAACACTCTATTCGCTGCGAAGCTTGAAATTTTTCTTTCTTCCATCTTGCATAATTCATCGTTATTTATTTAATTTCGCATTTTTTTTTATTTACAAACATTTGATATTTTTCATTAACATGATTAAATCGTTGCTTGACTCAAAACACGAGCATGCAACAAATATATATCGAAAATAAGCATGCTATTATGTTATTTAATTAAATTTAGATATGATGTATAATGTAGTACTAATATATTTTCAAGGAATGTCTTCAAACCATAAACTCCAGATTGCTTTGAAAAAATGCATTCTGATTTTGTATGTTCAAAATGATATTAATTAAAATTGGCTTTTAAATTGTACATAAGATCTGATAAGGGATCTTACAAAAACATTCTTCCCAACTATTTTTGAAAGACTGAACAAATAAAAACTTGTTGTCAATGTTTTCTTGAAGTTACGCAATGTTTTGTCTCTTGGATAAGGTTTCCAAATGTTTATCTTTAATAAAGATAAAGGCTGAAAATCAGATTAAATTAATTGGAATCATTGGCCTCAATGTTATTAAGGTCTTTCTTCACCTGAGCTTCAGCGATTTTGTTGACTTTTAAAACATTGTAAAATTTCTTTATAATTTTGATATTTGAATTACTTGTGTTTTTTTGTTTTTGTTGATTTCATTGTATTATTGAAAAATGAAATGATATTACTTATTTTATGTGCCTTTTTTGATTCATGTACGATTTGCCAAGTCTACGTGTAACTCTTGTGGTCTGCCGCGGGATGTTCTTTTCGTTAAACAAAAAAATTTTTAAAATTCCAGTACATAATTCAGAAGAAATATTAAATAAGAAGAAATATATGATCGTCAAAGGTGAACTTTCTGGAAAAATTCGGTAACACTTTGAAACTTCGGAAAGTTGCAAAACAGCTCTGCGAAATATAGCGAACTACATTTACATATTTTTAACTTTAAAATTACATTAATTTCGAAAATAATGTTTTTTAAGACTATGCTTCTAAATGAGCAGAATCAATTAATTTGTTGTGTGTGTATATTTGCTTAAATATTATTCTCAATATTTTCATTGGTTTAAGAAATTATTTCTTCACCGTCTAAGGTATTTCTCCAATTTCTTATATGAAAGAAAACTGATAATGCAGCTAATTTGCCTTTGATACGTAAACTGTAATTTTAAAATATAATTTTCTCAGGCTGCCACTTTTATTCAATTTTATTTAATATAATATGTAGTTGTGGTAAAATGTCATTTGTTTAATAAATTCACTATTGCTTTAATCATTTTTTCAATGCTTTTCATCTTTATTTACGTGTTTAATTCAGAGCCACTGCACTGATTATTACATGAAATATGTGTATTTGTATTCTCAACTTGCAGTATGAAGCATCCTCCTACAACAGGATTATTTTCAGAACTTCCATGAGTTCTGACCTCAGTTTTCAAACCTTAATTTTTTGTTTCTTTTTCATAGTTAGTAATTCATATTGACAGAAATAATTTACATCTTCTGGCATGAGCTGTTGTAAAAGTGTACTGAACACTAATTGAAAAAAAAAGTGTCAATAACCATAATTAAAAAGTAAAACAAGCTAATAAATTCCAAGCATGTATAAATACGAGCAAATTATCTGATATCTTTTATTATGTTTATCACTCGGAGAATCTCCAGTAAGCATGGCCAAAATGAGGTCATCAGGCTCCTTCCTTACGATCCGTAAGGTTCTTGGCGCACCTGCAACATGACGCACTTGCAACAAACAATAATTTATTTCTGAAACAGAAATGGTGCAATGAAACTCTTCTTTATTAACATAGTAGTTAATTTCTTAAATGTACAGTTATGTGATGTAATTTAACAAACAAAAAGCAAATGCCCGAAATCGTCGATAAAATTAATGCGAATTACACTCCAGGTCTTTTTTATTTATTAGAGGGAGGGGGAGGGATTCCTCTCTTGTTTCCATCTGTTAGTTTTTATTTATTATAGGCGGTTTATTTCGGCAGACCTTCTCTACAGTACCTTTGCTTCTCAATAGCCGAGATCTAAGTGTCTTAGGAACTTTGTGTCTCAGGAGGGCTATAATAATTGGTGGGAACAATTTCAAAAGTGAACCGGACATTTATAGTGAACCGACGCAAAATGCCGTTTCGAGACTAATAGCCGTTCTGGGATTGGCTACACCCCTTGGGTAAAAAGATGGCTAAAACACCCTTATGTGGTAAATATTGTAATGCAGAGTTATTGTTACTTTAAAAATCATTCGAACATTCGGTAAGAAAAAATAACAGTAAATAAAAATAAAATCTGAAACGTTTCAGATTTTAAAAAAATACGTCCAAAAGAGGTTTTGTTAACATTTTGTGTTTACGTTATTTATAACTATCATGTTCTTCGCGCATTTAAACCATAACTTCCTTCAGAGCAAATATCGATAAATAATTTTAACTGACCATATCTTTAGAATTTCCACACAGCTCGCGCGCTGGAGATAAATTTTTTTTCTGTACACCGTTGCCATTGCTCACTTTGAAATCCCCGAGTTTGTTAATCAAAATTCGTTTAAAGTTTACAAATTGAAAAAGATAAATAAAACAAATCTAAATTTCAAATTTAGGCTCAAATGCTCATATTCGCAGCAGGATTTACGTTATTCAAAATTGGATGGCTCTAGGTACCGTTATTTTATCACAATGCGAGAAACATACATACATTCATGCAGATGCTTCATTATTTAATTTCTTTAAATCTAATACAGAACGATAATATTTGGTTGGACAATTTGGAAAGTGAAACAACGCTTGTAGCGAATCAACGCAAAATAGTCCTTCTGGGCAAATTGCCCCTTTGGTCTAATTATATAGAAAAAGATAGAATACATCACAGTAAACAATATTACGAAAAAAAATTTTAATTCTTAATATTTCATGCAAATTTAATTTGACTATCCAATTTCATACCAAATTGCTGGATTTTTTTGCAACTATGTTACATATAAGAATGGAATCTAAGAATATGCTTTTGATTTACTTTGCTTCATAGCTGGCAGCTGCGGACTGAAGTGCTGGAAGAAAAGTTGTATAAGCTTTTGAACAAATATTATGCTAATCACGCATACACATCGTCTCCTTGCATTTTTGGTAACAGGTGGAGATTTTTAGGTTTTCTCCTTTAGTTGTTACGTTGATTATATTGATACTAGCCTCTATTTGCTGCACTCCTCCTTCGGGTAAATTTTAATCTTGAAATTTGCTGATTTAATTTTTTAATGTAAAAGTAAATTTCACCACAATGGCTTAGTTTCATCACAAAAGTAAAATTTATTACCTTTCATAAGTTTTATTACTTTTTACCGTTTAATAAGTTTCTTTAATTTTGTGTCGAATATTGAAAATATTTTCTTGTATTAGTTACGCATACAGTTTTTTTACCTCATGCTTAGTGTAATTTCTCTCGGCCATAGTCTGTAAATTTTGTTTCTAAACTTTAGAAACAGATGACGGTGTTTTTTACGAACTTTTGAGATGGTCCCTTGAAAAGAAACTTTATTTCTTTCAGTTCAAATTTAAAGATAAATACTCAAATTATAACTAAAAAAAAGTAAATATAAAATTTTAAATTAAAATCAAACATGATATTAAATTGGAAATCAGATTTTTTAAAATTTTTATTGTGATTTAAATTTTATTTAGTTGCAATACTTATATTTCAACTTTCAATTATATTTTTAGTTGGCTGGGAAACGTTGATACTCCAATTCCACTTCTTTGTCATTGCGTTACCGTAGCAGAATAATTAATAATGGTAAGTACCCATTCTTAATTTTGTAATTAAATAATCTCTACTTAAAAATTTGGACTTAAAAATAAGTTCCTTCTTTACCATCCCTTTTATTAACTCTTTTCTTTTTCAAATGGCAAGTGCTAAAAAATCATCTCCCTTTCTTCTTTTCCCTCATTTAATCTTAATATAAATATTACGTATATTTCGATACTTCTTAATGATCTATTGAAGTATTGAAAAAATCATTGATATTTCTTACTTCATAACTTAGATTCAGTATTTTACTTTTTGCTTTTCAATGCACATGTAAAATTTTTAGAAACCAGTTAAAATATCATAAATTTAAGCTCTCATAAATATGTAGAGAAAAAGCCACCAGGAGCAGGTAATTTTTAATATGGAATAAATGAAAAATATATTCTCTAAATTTTCATTACAGAAATCTCTAATTTAAAAGATTTTCAAGGTTAATTTCATGTTTAGTATTTTCAGGTCATTGACAGACTTGAATTTCTATAATTTTTATTTGTTTGTCAGGGAAGAAAAATGTACTAAATTAGTATTATATTATTCTTCGTTGAAATTTCTCGTTTTAATTCACAAAATTTTAACCAAATTTATTATTTTTTTATTTTATTTTTTAACATGAAAGCTGTATATGCTCTAACGTAATTTTTTAAAAACATGAACTTTCGATGAAGAATAATCCTGCATATTAAACATGAAAATTATCTGAAAATCTTCTAGGCTAGAAATTGTCATCAATAGATACATCAAGAGTATAAAAATAATGCGTTATAACCAATATATTTCTGAAATATGTTAATTACAAAATAATAAGAAATGAATATAATGCAAATTATTAAATTAGAAACTGAATGCTTAAATTATACGATTGAAATCCAGCTAGATTTTGGTGTTATAAAATAATAATAATATGTGATAAAATTATTTTATTATTTTTGGAGTATAGCGAGTATAGGGAAAAGAGCACATTAAATCTGCAGACGATAGTTTAATTTTAACATGATATTTAAGTATGCTTTTAACTTGTTCTTGACCTAGTACTTTCCTTAATTCCTGTAAATAGGTATTACTGTTTACTCTATGTAAAAAATATGTTTATTGCTAAATAAAATTTCGCATCCTTGTCAAAACAGAAAGCAGATACTTCGTTTGCATAAGCTTTTCTTTTAAATTAATTGTTTCCAGTTCATGAAACATAAAATCATTGGGAAAATTAGCAACCTTGGCACCATATTTTATAGTTACTGTAACTAGCTATAGCAACCGAATATACCATCTGATATCCATGGTATTGCATATATATTGCAAGCCTCATAAACAGATCGACTGAGTTAAAAATGTGTATGAGTGATGAGATAAAATGTGTATGAGTGTCTAGCCAGCAGATTTATACCTTAACGAGATTTCTCGTAAATTTCCTGGGAAGTTTTACCGACTCCTAGGATGTCAGGAATATTTGTGAAAGATTTTTTAATTTACTGTTTATAAAAGAAAGAACCCATTTCAACTATATGATATAATCATTTTAAATAAAATTCTCTAAATAAAACCTAAACAATTTTTTTTAAAAAAAAGGAACTAGAATACGTTTTCGAAATTGATATAAACTTGTTTACGGCTGGATAAAAATGTAATTTTTTTTTTTCCAAAAGAAATTTCTGTATTGAAAACGAAGGTACTAATATGCCCTTCGGCAAATTCACTAATTTTGAACGCAATAAATGTACGCTATTTGAATTCTGCACTTAATTACCGGGAGTAATTGAGTTTTTGTTTCAAAACTAAGTCTGTCCGTAATCGTGAATAAAGTAGAAGTTAGGATATAATCAGCAAGAAATTAAACTGCTACTTGAAATAGTCTCACAGCATCGTAGGTGTAATATACTACTGGTCATCTTCCACAGTTCGTTTAGTGATTGAGACTGAAAAGAGGCTAGTTTCCCACGAATAATAAATCATCATGAAACTTTTAAATGACGATTCTCTGATTGATAATGATACTGTTTCGGGACATGCTGCAAATTCAACATATTTTCATTTGACGTTTAAAAGCTGAAACGTGAGAGGAAAAGTTATTTTTTAATAAATACTTTGCATTAACTAGTTTTCATTTGTTTTGAGAATTCTATCGTCTATCATACGTTGGTAAAAAAAAAAAAAAAAAAAAAAAAAGCAGTTCTTTCAGCTGTAAGCAAAACTACGTCAAGGCTGTCCGATTCCATTGTAATTTTTCCAGGCTTATAAGCTAGAATACTATCTCATTCTGCATTAATTAAAACTGACTTTTCTTTTAACCCCTTAACTTATTTTATTATCCCTTTCTTCAGGAAATATTCCACATCATTAAAATATATAAGTATTATCATCATGACAAATAATTCCTGAAGATAGCTTACTGATATTATACTATTAAAATTTAAGATGATTTATGATTCCCAAGAAATATACGGAAAGTGTTTTATTTCCTGAAGAAAAAACACCAATAGGCACACGCTGGAATGCCAAAAAAAGTGAATCCTGTTTTTCGGTTAAGAAACCCTAATAAAAGGTACATTTTCCAAGCGCTATACACCACTGGGAGATGTTTCTTTTATCTGCCAAATTATTAAATGTGTTTCTTAATCAACCTAATTTTACAATATGTATTTTTTTAATATTGTGGTGCTTTTCGATATGAATAAGTTTATGTTTCCTTTGCCTGGATAATGATGCTTTATATCATGAATCATTTTATTTAACGAATTTGTATTGTACTGTATTTTGCTTTGTGTATGTTTTCAGTACATTATTCTTTAACACAATAATTACTGACGACTGTAAATCATTTTACGTTTTTAGAAATATTCCGGCGTGTTTCAATAACAATAGTGAAATTTTATGAATTTTCTATGGATTAATTATTTCTCCTTTGTGTTACTGCGGCTGATAGGTATGATAATAACTTACCAGATATGATACTGCTGTGATAATAATTATGATAGTATCATAGCTAGACGACTATGATAATAGCTGGCTAGTTTAGTTGTACTGTATTTTTAAATTTGCTTTTGCTTTTTTGGAAAACTTCAACTTTTAAGATTACATAAATTAGTGATTTGGAAATTTTTATGATTTCAAAGGTGTGTATATAATTTTCAATTATAGAGCTTTATATTTGACCGCTGAGAAGTAATCACATTTTTTACAAACTAATATAACTATCATAGTTGCTCTGCTGTGGCTCACTAAACTATCAAAAGTTGCTCACTAAACTATCATAGTGGCTCACTAAAGTATCACAGTTGCTAATAGCTCACTAAACTATCATAGTGGCTCACTAAAATATCATAGTTATTAATGGTTCAGCAAGTTGTTAAACTGGAATTTGAAAATCAAATTGCGGTTTTTAGCATTTTAATAGGTACACATGTCTTCCAAAAAATTAATCAGAATTAATTAAAAGTTTCCCTAATAATATGCACGATATTTCTTTAAAATAACACAATCCGATAGTTAGAAAATGATGGTGCATGATAATGAAGTTGTTTTTATTATGCTGACTAGCATCATAATTCAAGAACATTTTATTAAGAAATCTAAATGTGAAAATGATATACAGAGATTGTATTATATTAATTTTCATGAGCGCATTTTAAAAACGCGTCCATAATCATGAGCATGTAAAAGAACGAATTTAAATCAAACTATTTCAAGTTAAACCTTAAAACAATAAAAAATTTTAATTAATTACAGAGGCACAAGTACCAACTTCAAACTAATAAAATAACAGTGTGATAAAACAGTAATGAGAAATTACCTTAGATTTAACACAATAAGTTATTCATTCAGGCATTAAAAAAGAACTAAATATAATGACTTAGATAAAATGAATAATCATTATTAAACTTAATGTTATTCGATGTGATTCTGAAATGCCATAAATCTTAAATAGTAATAGAGACACAAGAAATTACGATCACAGTTCTTACAAGAAGTAGCATTCTAACACCAGCTATATTGTTAAAACCAGCAAATAACTTCAATAAAACCAATGAAAGGTTTCTATTTCGCAAATTGATTATAACTTAGATTATATAGAAAAGTAAAGTAATCAAGTTTCCAAATAATTACTTACTGAAATAACCGTTTTAATCCTCAGCGAAACATAGACGAACACTATGATGATATAGATTTATATCTTATTACAGTAACCGTAACCGACAAACGAGGACATCTCGTAAGTGACGACATTCTCTGCTTAAACAGATGCTCTTAATGTAAACGTCTTGTATACGTTTTTTAACTGAGCCAACAGTAACTAAATTTTGACGACATGCAGCTTTCAGAACTCACTTCTGAAAAATAACACCTAAAACCTTTACAGAGGCAACCCAAATTAATCGGGTTAGTATACAGAGCACGTCAACATTTAATTCAAAAAGCGCTTATAATCCAGGGGCAGTTAACAAAAAATCAGAGGAAACAGAAATTAAGAATTAACTGTATTTTCAAAACATTTAATTTGAAAAGTAAGTTCATTGTATTGTGTAAAATTAAATCGTATTTTTTATTTTATTACATGCTCCGCCATAAGGCACTATACGGAAAGGGAAGGATGCCCCATGAATGATTTTTTAAGAGAAGCTAGCTCGTATCCGTGTTACGTATGGAAAAAAACTATGAAAAGACCAATGCAGCCAACCGTTGCGCTAGACCTTGAACCCCGAACCGAACTACCAGTGTTCAGGGGCTTTAACAGCTTTGCCGCTTAAATCAGTATTGGAAATGTTCACGTGGAAACAAAAAGAATATGCTGTAAATAAAAGAAGCATAAAATTCCATAGAAATCGAGAAAGTAAACTATCAATGATATTAAAAAAAACGGTATTTGCGAAAGAACTTGATTAATAGAACTAAGTTTAAACTTCTTTATTATGAGAAAATGAACTTTATTATGAGTAAAAAAGTTGGTTAGAGTTTTATTTTTGTCTCCTCAAATCTTACCTGTCAAACATCATCACGGCAGCATCTACCATCACTGCTGATACACTTCTCCAAAACAATTTTCCTTTTTGTATCCTTTAAAGTTCTAATCAGGAGTCTTCATTTTTTTTTGGCCCCATGTACTCCTTTTACCTTAGAAGTTGCAATTCCCCTTCTTACCAAAATTTGAAAAATACGTATGCATTTATATTTAGATTATTTAGATATTAGTTTTTTTATTAATTAAACAACAAAAGTATAGAAAGTGTTGATAAATACCAAACTTCAACTAAAAAAATTTTTTTTATATCTATAAACTAAATGCTAAACACATTCAATTCCAGTAAAGCACCAACTCCATAACATCAATGGAAATCGACTTAGTCAGGCTTAGTACTGGTCATCACAGAGGATCGAAAATTGACAGAGAAGGTAGGAAAACCTACAGAAACTGTGATAACTGCACGGACACGGAACTGACAACTCCACACAATTTTGATTTTTCTGAATTGTTAAAAATTGGGGTCTTGTTTAAGAAGACCGAATCTCTACGATGATAACACTTTGCAGAACTTTAGCGTGCTATACTGTTATATTCGCCCATGGCACTAATTGAATAAGCTTTATGATAAACACGGGAACAATAATAATAGGAAATACTGAACAGTTAAATAAAAGTATGATTGTAACCCGCCCCCTCCCCCTCTGGAACAACGAAATTTCCCCCTGTTAGAGAACCCCTGATCTAATAGATAAGAGAAGATAAACATCTGGATTTCAACCTTAGTTCAAATCCTAGAGAATGAGGTGGCTGCACATTATTTTCGTGATTTTCCTGTTTCGTGAGTTAACTTGAGTGTGCTATACTGTAATCCAATATCTTCTTTCTGTACCTTTTCTATGTTTTATCATTTACTGCGTGCGATAATGATATTTCCCCGGTTCTCAACATACAAACTTATTTTTTAAGAGAATGGTTAATCATCAAACCAGTTATTCTAATCCAGGTTGATCAAGAGTTGACTGTGAATCAAAATATTAACACAAGCCTGAGAATCATTATGAAGTGCAGATCAGTATAGCTCTGTACCTAAACTGTCAATAATGATCTATGTTTTCATTATCTGAACTGAACATCAGGCAATGATATCAAAACAATAAAGACTTTCATATTCATAATTTTACATTGAACTACCGTAGAAATTCTATCTAGATAGCTGCATTTTTGGAACTCTGTTTACCAGATTTTTTGTTGTTATTTCCAAGCTAAGTGAAATTAAGCTCTTTTGAATTAATTTACATCTTTTCAATTTAATTTTTTAATTTTGCTCATTGATATAATATTTGCATAATGCATATAATATTTACATAAGTTTAATATTAAATTAAATTAAAGTTTAATATTTATATAAGCTTATAAATGCATATAATATTTACATAAGTTTGGTGTTTTGACAATGAAGAAGCTTATTTGAGATATCTGTCTCAGAAAAAAATGGCTTCATAAAAGAGTTTCTAAGGGATAAAAGCTCATATATATTGTTTAAGGTATTAAATTATTTTATTTGAATATTTGCGACACTTACATATTCTACAAATATGAACGCTTTAAACATTAGTGGAAAAGGCAATCAATATACTATATATAGCCCTCATTTTGTTTTTTAACCTCATGAGTCATTCTTAGACACATAAACTGCTCCATATGTTCGACAAATAAGTAGTTTATAAATATTAACTGAAAAGCAGTTAATGGATTTTTGTTTGTTTACTCCGTAAATCATTTTAAAACACATATATTGGTCCGCATGTTCGAAAAATATGCAACCTACAAATATTAATTGAAAAGTAATTAAAGCGCTATATTTAGGCCTAATTTTCCCATATATAACATCGATACGATCCTGTTTCCTTAGAAACACATCCATGTAGGCATCTCTCACCTAGGCAAATAGCACTTCGTGCGCTTTTCCATTATCAAACAAACCAAACCCAGGCATAGCTTTATTTTCGTCACACTCAGTTTTAGACATATAGGCTTGTCTATATATACGATAAACAGTATCCTACAAAAAGCATGAAAGAAATTAATGTGCTACCATATAGGCTAGTTTTACTTGTTCATTACCAAAAGTCATTTTTAGGCATACAGATTTGCCCTATGTTCAGCAAATAGGTAGCGTAGAAATATTAGTAGAGGACTTCGCGTAACGAATTTTAGAATTAGAGTTGTTTCATTTGTTTATTACATGTTTGAAATGAGGCTTATCTAATACTATCATGCCATTTAATTGGTAAATTCGATTTTTGCCTCTCATTTCAACAAACATGCAAAAAAAAAAAAAAAGCCAAGTACGTTTGTAGTGGTTGTAATGCTTCTTCCTCAGAAGAGAAAAATAGCCTTCTGTATTTTTATGCTTGGAAAGAGTCTGTAATTCTTCAGATACTTTTTTCATGGAACTTTAATTCAAACAAAGACTGAATTTATCAAAAAACATATAGTTGGGTTACAGAGTTTTCGCAAGTATTAAATCGATGTATTTGCACACAACAAATTTTGCAAATCCTTTCTCGTTCAAGCTAGCGAAACTAACATAGTATTTACATTTCATCTGATTACTTCAACATATTATGAAAGTTTACTGATAATTTTTTTTGTTATCCTTAGTCAAATATTTTTACGCAAATATAAAGTTAACTTTGTTTAAGATCATATTTTGTACCTTAAAAATTGTTGTCCTTTGAATTGTCATTATTGTTTGGAAATTCGGTGTTGTGTTTAGTGATGACATATTCTTGGCAACTTGTTAGTAAAAGAATGTTTGAATCTTTTCCGTTACAGGATAATAAGCACCAAACAATTTTCGCTAGAAAGATAAAGAAAACAGTTTAACATTTTCAGTGCGAAGGTATCTTTCATTATCAACCATTTTTACTGTAGTATTGCAAAACACTTGTAAATTATTATAAGTGTTCTACAAGGTGAGCAAAATTTTATAGTAAATTTCGTACATAGTACGTATATGCTTTGTTGCGTGTGATTACAACTGCTTCGATAGTTCTCTTTCTGTCGCTGCGTAACTGAGAGGAAACATGTCTAGGACCTCTCTAGGTGTCTAGGAAACTCTGTCTAGGTCGGCATGGCGCACTCGCGTTGTAAATATCCGCATAAGCATTGATTGTTTATTATAGAATTGTGATTATATGTGCTTATGTATGCATTCGCATAAAGCTTCTTTTTACACGTATATCTAACAATAGTTACTGTTCTTTTATAACTACCCAGCAATAGTGGCCTCCTAAGAGAAAAATTTGTAAAGGAAAAGCTAAGAAAAAGAAGATGATTATAGTAGAAATAAAGAAGGAAATCACGAAGAAGGTGAATAAAATGTGCAAACAGCTGCAGTCGTAAGATTTTATAATAAGTCTACGTCATCGATTTGCTGAATATTAAAGAAGAAATAAGAGGGCCAGATACAGCAAAAGAAGTCACAAGAATAGCAAACAACACCCGCGTATTTTGGAAGATACAGAAATTTTCTTAAAATTAGGCCTATATATTCCTGTGAATAAATGGGAAGCAAATATCAGATAATACAGTGACTCGGAACCTTATCTGCATGACGGCAAAAGCCTTCTACGCCGACCTCGTAACTATATTACCAGGATGTCGACAGAAAACGAATAAGTTTCAAGGAGAGAAGAGGATAGTTTGGTAACTTAGACATATAATGTTGTGGAGCAGGAAGAGGTTGCGTATTCGGATGCTAAGACAGCTTAGGTTTTACCAGTCGAGTTCCAAAAGCTAGTGCTTTCTGAGTATTACCCGTAGCAGGAATTTTTTCAATTTAGTTTTTGGAAAAAGATACCAAACATGATTTGTATTACAGCAGAACAGAAAGTAATGCTCAATCACGAACCCTTGAAAGATAGTTTTAGCCCTTCGTTATGTACCAATGCAAGTGAGAATGCAAACCAAGCCATTGCTTGTGTATCATTTTGAGAATCCATTATTCTTCAAGAAATGCAAGATTCAGGAGTATCGGTTAAACACTACAGGAAGGTCGAACAGTAAGGACTGTTTTACGTATTTTTTCGTTGAGCGTATCAACCGACGTTTTTAGTTCTGCAAAGAAGAAACAAATTTTAGATAGCATTTTACTATTCATATGCTTTCTGAATGTGAATAATGCACTTACTTATCCTCCGGGTTTTGAAGATGATTTATCGAAGGAATTCCAATCCATTAAATCCAAGAAACCCGCAATGG